TGTCCTGTGCTGCTGACACAAAACAGATGATTAATGCCCTTTTTAATGAATACATCCCTTCAAAGGGCATGTCTGGTGATACTGTGTTTGTTCTGCTGTCAAGAAATCCACTCATATGCTAGAAAATCAACAATGGACAGTTCCTACTAACCAGTGTTGCATGTGTATTAGCAATTATAGTTTATTCCTCTGTGACATCAAGCTCCATTGTTGTTCAAAAGCTATTAAAAAGACATCAGTGGGCTCAACACTATTGCACAATGTGACACGTTTCTTTTTTTACAATCAGTATGGGCTCTGAAGTTTATTTTGAGCTGACCTCAGACACACTTTCCTGCTGTGCTAAATACACATTTTAACACTAAATCTGGAGCTCAAAGAGATTCCAGTAAATGCAGTATTTTGTCCGGTTTAGTGATGTTGGGTACACTGAAAGAAACTAGCCATTTTACAGATGATGTATTGCATTTGTGATCAAATTACATCATCAGTAGCTCAAGGCTTGCAGCCACAGACAGGCTGGAAAAAATTAAAGTATCAATAGAAGGGACTTATTTATTGTGGGTCTTTTAGGATTTGGGGGCTTTTTTTTTCAGCAGCACTAAGGCTGGGTAAAGATTCATTGGAAAAAGATGCTCACGGTCATTTGACCTTAGATTTTGGGTGCATCACCCACCTCAAGAGGTTTCTAAATGTCTGTTTCGTTTCTCTTGTGTTACTTACCATCGTGTTTCTTCCTCCCATTCAAAGATCTTCTGAAATTGTAGTTCACACATAAGAGCTCATAGCACTGTATTACCCCAATAGAGCACTTTGCTCTCAGACTGCTGGTTCTTTGGGTATATAAAAGCACAATGGGAGGCAGAGTTTTCAGACCTCTCTTGTTTGGAACCAACTCTCAATTGAGAGGCAGACACCATCTCTAATTTTTATGGTTAGGCTTAAAGCTTTCTTTCCTAAAGCATATAGTTAGAGCTGGATCAGGTGACCCTGAATCCTCCCTTCGTTATATTGCAATACCTCGAGGCTGCCAGCTTCCCATGATGCGTTGAGTTTTGTGTGTTTTTGTCCTGTTTTCCTTCCCTAACCTCACTTACTCAACCTGGTTCTGCCGGAGATTTCTTACAAGGGAATTTTTCCTTCCCGCTGTCACCAAAGTGCTTGTTTATAGGGTCTCATCTAATTGTTAGGGTTTTCCTTGTTTTCTATATATTACTGTAGGGTCTTTACCTTTCGATATAAGGTGCATTGAGGCAACTGTTGCTGTTATTTGGCGCTATATAAATAAAATTGTTACAGATTTTAGGTTTATGAATAAGTTTTGAGAAGATGAGTCTTGCTATTCATACTTTCATTAACGCACACTTTCCTTTTCACAATCTTCAGTTTATGAGGGGCAGCCAATCAAAAGTAAGTTTCCATAAGTGAATGAATGGAGGGGCTGTACCAAAGCATAGCTTTTCTGAGGAAGTCCAATAATGCAAATATGGTTTTGAAAATGAAAAGAATCTGTTCCCTTTAACAATAGTTCTGTTTTGCATTAAAGTTATTACATGCAAGCTGAGCAAAAATGTTGTATAGAGTTTTTCTTTGTCCCCTGGCTGTATCATATTTAGCCGATGCCACAACAGGCGTCTTGGGCTTTTTCCTACACCTCCAACTAAAGTCTACAGAGCAATTCTAGAGAAGTAAGCAGATGTTAAATACCCGATAATTGATCACTGACAATGCTTTCCAATTACTTTGATCATCATTTATAGTGGAAACTCTCCAAAAGAGCCACATCGCAGCTCTGCAGGCTGAGTGAAATACAGCCTATTGTCATTAAGCCACATGAACACTTTCACAAAGCTACATAGAGTAGAAAGTTTGTGCACAATGTGTCTCTGTTTTGAGGTCAGAGGGTGGATACGGCGTTGCAAATCTGGCACAAATTACACGCCTGCAGCCACCAGCAGTCTGAGGGAATTCCGGATAGGAAGCTGTGAGAAGTCCTCATCGACTTAAACGGAGTTAAACCTAAACTCTTTCAAGAGGGTTTGGCTGTAATGCCTCCCCAAGTGGAACAAATGTGTGAGCTGGCTAACCAGAGATCATTTTTCAGCTTCATTTTAAAATGTGGACAAACTAAACAAGGAAGCCAGAATCAACTTAATAGTATGTAAGCAGTTTGACTGCACCACTGAGTCACTTTCTAGATAAAGATTGATGACTTTATAATGCATTTTGAGATGAATCTGCCACAAAAATGAAATCCACAAACATGGAGAAAAATCGATTTCTACACAGAATTTTACTGGAATATCTGACACAACAATAAGCTGGTTAGTATTGTAGAAAATTGCATCATTTTAATTCATACAGTTCTAAACCATTACAGGCATATAATTTCAACAATGATAAAAATGTTTTTCAATAGGATTTGGATGCTGAAGTGAAGATGATACTCCAGTTCTTTTCCAGCAGATATGACCAAAACAAAGTGAAGATGAAAGACATGTTCTGATTTTAAGTGTGTGTTTTTTGGTTGTTTTTTTACTGAATCCAAGATATTTGATGTCTATGTGTTGCAGACACAAAGCCTGCTGTAACCAGAAAAGGTTCAAAAGCCATTCATTACTGAAGTCTAACGTTTTTAATTTTTTTAAAATCTGAAGCCACTCTAACAGCTACATAAACAAGATACTTGTTTTCCTTAATTAGTGCTTTTAATGTGAATAGAGCTTTTAAAGTCCAACATGTTTATTAACTCTTCCTAACCTCCTCATTATAAAAGTTATTGCTTAGAGCCCCACAATCTGCATGGGCTCCCTCAAAATAGCACAAGAAAGGAAAGACAGTTAAGATACTGTCAGAACTATTTTATAAGTGTGCACATCAAAAACATAAATTTTAATATCGGTCAATTTGTTTTATAGTCTTCCATTATTATTCATGCTGATGTTTGATACAAAAATAGCCAGTTTTTGTTTCATTTGTCCACTTCTGTGTATTTGTTTCGGTGTTTCTTTTTTTTTAAAATATTTTAACTACATCAAACCCTGTTCAGTGCAAAAAAGCATCACCAAATAAAAGGCTTGTAAACATGAAGTAAATACCAGTAAAAGCAATACAGCAGCAAACAGCCAAAAAGTAAATGAGAAATGGAAATCCAGTCTATGGAAGTGGCGTGGCCTCAATTTATCCGTGTGCTATCCTGGTGCCTCGTCACGCTGCTGTGGTCACATAATGTTTTATTGATCAATGTGTTGCACTGTTTTAATAAATAAAATAATTTCCTCAGGTACAGGAGCAGGCTCTTTAAATAATCATAAACTGTAGGCGTTTCTCTCTCTCTTTCTGAATAATGACAGCCTTCAACATGTGATTAAGCCCGGAAACAGGAAATTGGCTGAAACACAAGTCGGGCAAACAATTGGCAAGAACGTCACCAACCACCTCTCCCAAAAACAAAATTCATTTGTGAGTTGCGTGTGTGTGTGTGTTAGAATCCATCCATTTGCCTCAAACAGTTCCTCTTCTTAACCCTCAAATCCCCTTGATCTGTTTAAATCCTCAAAGATAAAGTGTGCAGAACCACCCATGGAAACCGCTCCCCTGAAGCAACAGGTGCAATGTATTTTTTCATACCAGTATTGCGTGTCAAAACCCCTTTGAGGATACGGTTACTTCCAGACAGTGAGGGAGCCACAGGAAATCTTCTCACACGCGACGATTCAAAGGTGAAATTTAGAGTCCTTTAGGGGCCGCTCGGTAAAAGCTGCCCCGGGTCTCCCTTCACTTCCTTGATGGCCACAAAGGGAGATCAGCAGGTTGCTCTCAGCTGATGTTGGAAAGGCCACGACTCAATGTATAGCGTACTTATATTATTCTGTAAGACGACAGTTCCTTCCTCTAAGACTGAGGCAAAGGAACTGCTGTCTGGCTTGATTTAGTAAGCAAGGCCTGCCTCAAGGTCAACGACAACAATAAACAAGGTGCTACATAAAAGAGGTGTGCATTTATTTATGTGAGGTAGGGCAAGACAGAAACATTTGTAGTCCAAACCATAGCCTGAAGAGCGAGCAACTAATCAGGGTATTTTTCGTATGCATCTGAGATCGCCTTGGTTAAAGTATTTGATACGAGCTGACCAGTACAATGAAGGATCCTCCGCTTTCTTTGTCAAAACACAATCTGGACGGTTACACTGGGGATCACTTTGAAACAACAGAAAGAGACAGACTGACGGCAAGCACAATGAGCAGATTCAGCAAGACTTAACATCTTGCATTTTGTCAGCTTGATGTTCTCATAACACCTCACTCCTTCGGCAAGCCATCTGGTCTATAGGCTCCTTTCTATTAACTCGTTGTCTTATGCTGTCTGGAACATCAAAATCAAAGTTGACTGTGCATGAACAACGTGGGTGAATATGACTGAAAAACTGCAGGGTTGTGTGACACCAGAGCTACAGGGATTTATAAAAAACGGAAAAACAGCAGTTTGGAGTAATTGTCTCTTAGTTATTGAAAAGAAAATATGCAGCTGCAACATAAAGTCGTCCATTTGATTCTAAAATTATAACTAGATCCACGGGGACTTTCTAATACAATTCAGACAAAAATAACTTCAACCAGCGACAGGGAAGGTGTATTTAAATCTTCCTCAGTACTCAGAAGCACCTCAAGAGGTGAATTTGAAGAAAAGCCACTGGTGGATACAACAGGCTTTTTTTTTTGTAAGCAAGTGTCACAACAGTAAAAGCACATAAGTAAAATTAATGATAGCTGAATTCAGTTTCACTGCTTCCCTTTCTGCTGCCGCGCTGTGCAGGCTGGCTCGCTGTCACAGGAGAGCTTCGACAGAAATGAGAAGTTGTTCATTTTATCAGCAACAGCTGTGCTTTTTCCAACTTTGACAAGTAAAAACGTCTGCTGTGAAAACACCTGATCATCTCCAACCATCCTCCACTGGGGGGGTGGGGGGGGGTGGGTGGTTACTTGATTATGTTTACAGAATAAACACACTGCTACAACAACTGCTTCATCATTTAAAAGACTGATGGGGTTGAGCTGATCCACTACTCGCATTTGAGCAGCCAATAACTTTTGCTATTAGGCGCTACATTTAGCATCAAAATAATGAGTAACTGGCATTATATATGCAAAGATTTAGATGAAGCAGAGTTGAGACACCATAGAGGATGATGGAAAAGAGAAAATAGAGGCTCTACATGCTTTAAAAAAAATTGATGCAAGTCGTATTCTCTTTACAATTTTTTGCAGCGTTGAATCGTATACATATGTAGCATGTCTTTGTTTATGTCACTTTTTAAGAAGTTTGATATTATAACAATCTTCTTCACATCATCTTTATGATATTAGCAAACAGCTGAGAATGCTGACTTTATTTATATTTAACTTTATTTCTTTTTAAAAAAATGAATCATTAATAAATGTAGGTAAATTAGTTGTAATATTTATTCCTTGATCACCAATAAAACCAGCAAAATTGAGAGCTTGTAGTAAATTATTTTATATAGGGTTATACTTTTAAAATTGGGTTTATGGAATAGTTGGTGCCTCGTTTTTTCTGACAACTCATCTCGCCTTTCTCCTTACATGAAGTAAGATGATCGACACTCTCACTTTTGTCTATTGTTATTGGGCTCGATGCTAAGGTTTCATTTTATAGCCAAGATGAAGATGTGCTAAATTCATTTTCTCTTTCATACTTTCACACTATAAGTCGATTTAAGTAAAAAAAAAAAAAAAACTTATCTTAGCCCAATCTCAGCCGTCATATTTTTTAAATAAAGAACTTTAAGAAAACTGTTAAATTTGTATGTGCAGATGGTATTTGGCAACATTAAAGCTATCACATGATTAACATGCATACATACAAGCTGTTTCAAATCACAAAATGTAACATATTTAACTAAAGAGCTACATTTCCCCCTGCTGGCAAAGCCTTTGCTCCGCAGTCACTAACAGGAGAGTTACAGCCATATTATGTATGATCCACCTGAGGCAAGTACATTTGAAGCGGGGGTGGAGTGGGGTGAAAATCTCCAAGCTGCTCCAGCATCACCGCAGATCAGGCGTTGAAGCCCCCAAGTAAGTGCTTAGGTCTGTGATGTTAGATTTGATGATCTTTGCTGGAATGGTCTGCACGTTCAACCTCTGATAGGCAGCAAACCTGTGACAGCCTCCAAAGGAGTAGTAGTAATTTCCTCCCTCGCTGCCTTTGATCCAGAGCACATCAATAGGAGGAACAACGCTGATGTCTGCCGTCTCCTGGAAGGAAAGATAAAGTGTCAGTTAAAGCCTACAACAAGGTGTGGAGTGAAATTTAAGCAAGTACGACAAGAAAATGTCTTAAAGTAAAAAGTGTCATACATATATTCTATTTATTGCCTCTTCTGATAAACCAAAGGACTATAATAATTCTGAAATCTTCCCAATAAAGTGAGGAAGGAACTATTTCTAACTAAATATATATTGATTTTTGAAGAAAATCCCACCCTTTAACACCAATCCTGTGTAATCTCTATCTATCTATCTATCTATCTATCTATCTATCTATCTATCTATCTATCATACTGAAACAATGTCCTATATTGTGATTGGCTCAAAAATACAAAAGTCAACACTTAATAAAATACCAGCTTCTTTTGATTTTCTTTTTAATGAGGTGACAGCCACTTTTCTATAGTATGTTTTGCATACAGTGAAAGTGGAGGAAGCCATGCAGGTTAATGCGGGGAAAAATACCTGCCATGTCTTCAGCTGGACCGGGGGCGCCAACGGTCTTTATCACAATTACGTCATTTGTTGGGAGGAGTTGGGGCAGTGTTTGGGAAGTTAAAAAGGCACTTGGAAAGCAAAGATGTTTTCCAATGTTTGCAGATGTTTGTTTTGTTTTGTTTTTTCTTGTAACGCAACAGTGCCTGGTTTAGAGTATTTGGCACTGTTATAGTAAAACCTGTCACTACAGAGGTGTGTAGCTAAACTGAGTAACTCAGCAGTGCAGTGGGCCAATATTTACCCTGAAACTTCATAATCCACAAACAAATGATAACATAAAGCAACCGTGTCACCCTTATTGTGTCCATCAAGCTCTGGACTTTCTGCTCGTCCAGCACTGGAGGAAATGGTCTGATGATGACCTGCATCGGGATGTTATGGACCTCCTCCACGGTGTCCGAGTGAATCGACCTGTTGTCGGTGCTTTGGTCACCGACCGCCGGTCCACGGTCAGTGGGCGCTATCGACATATTTCTGCCGGTTAAAAACACCAGCTTCAGCGGAGATTTTGCACCACAGTACAGCCGAAACATTTAGCATACCCACCGACTACAGTACACTCGACTGTTTCCTTACTTCCTGTTGTTAAAAATGAAAGCTTTTGATTGGCTATTCTCACTGTCAATCACACAATTGCCATACCCTCTCGAGGGCAGCGGTCACAGGGTTTCAACCAAAGTAGACTTTAGGTGTGCGTTTGGTAGCGTTAAAAGACGTGTAGATATAACACATGCCTGCAAAACTGCTGTGTCCCATTAAAATTCACTCCAGAAATTAATCGTGCAGTTATGTAGAGCTGCAACAACCCCAGAGCCCTTCGGTGGCAGTGGTTTCTATTAATGAGGTCACTGTTTGTTTTGTGGACTGTTGCACGATATGGGCCTCTACCTCCTCCTCCTCCTCATTCTCCTTAGTTGTTCATATTCTATTTTTGCAGGGATTTCAAAGAACCAGCCAGGTTGCTGTGGCTACATGGAAAAAAAAGGATGTCTGGGCTCACACAGGTAAGTAAGCTTCAAAAGATCTGCGGCGGTGGAGCGGAAACAACTATTGTTTTCTCCAAGCCACAGCTACAGCAAGCTACAGCATCATCTTATAATGAGACAATTAAAACTGATTTCTTGGACAGAAGAGGCAGCCCAGTATATTGAATTATTAGAAAATCTTTGAAATGCAGCGGCAGCGCCTTTTATGGTGATTAATTGGTCACACGGGGATCAGTTAGAACATGAAAGTGGCCTATATATAGTGTGTAATCATTAACAGAGGTATCAGCATATAATATAGTATTACAGATTAAAGCTGAACAAAATGGATCCTGTTATGCTGCAGTGGGTGTAATCAGCTTTTCTTTTTTTTTGCCTCATTGTCAGGTGATTGTGTAGAAACAGCAATCTGTTTATTATTTCACTGGAGAACAGCTTAGCTTTGAAAACTGCCTCACATTTTCTACTTTGTTTCCGAAAGAGCAATTTAGCTGACACCAGAATACTGAAAACCCCACTTAAACTCTAATATAGTGACATGGATCATAATATGCTGACATGGGCTCCACGATTTAGTGTTCCTGCATGAATAACTGCAGTATAGTAAATAAGTAACGGTGACATGTCTCTCCCCTCTCATTCACCACTTCATACCATAGTCGAATTGTTGCTTTGCCGTCAATCAAAAGCCGTTTGAAAAGAAACCAGCGTCACATGAAGACAAGAGACCGTGTCAGTCAAGCAGTATAGACATTTAAATCATCTCCAGCGTTAAAGTGTGTTCAGAGTCCCACTACACTCTGCGTGACCCTCTGCTGTCACAGCAGGGTGGTATGCGAGTTGTTAACATATCTCAATTACTTAGATTGAGTTAGTCACACAGGTACAGCGGCAGGTCACGGAAGAACAGTTCCCACATAATGATTTGCTGTTAATATTAGATTTCAGTCCCCGTGGGATTGTCACACTTAGAGCAGCTGGAGAAAATTACCTGCCAGCTTTCAGACAAGGAAGTGAGCTATATTTATTTACGCAGTGTTATTTATTTTTTTACAAGTTGACATGCTTTTAAAGTGATAATTATTCTGACGCTGCTTTTCAGTCTTCTTTGTGATAGATGAATGTGTGTGAGATCTTAACACAGTTTAGCAACAGCGGATGTCTGTGTGTTTCCGGCCGAACGTGTGACTGATTCGCTCAGTGATGTTGATTACTCGCCGATGGCTGTCGCTGCCGAAATCTATGAAATTATTTCCTGCACGATCTCCTTCAAGTACATGAGAATGAGATTTCTGTTTAATGATCTTCCTCGCCTTGAAATAAATTTGCACCACAAATCTCATCTACAGAGAGAGAACAAGTGGTGCTTCGGAGAGAGGTTATTTAGATGTGGATTAAACTGCAGTCACACTCAGTGCACCGTTCATTGACCTTATAGCAAAAACAAAAGCACAGAGACATTTTTTTCCAACTGTAAAGCCAAAAGAAATAGTTCATCCAAAAATCAAATTAACACGATTTCCCTCTTGCCTATAGTGCTGTTTTTCCCAGATTGTTTGGTGTGAGTTTCCAGGTTTTGGAGTTTTCCGTCTCCCCTTAAACATATAAGAAGTAAACGTCACTCATCTTGTGGCGCTCAAGGTGATAAAAAAAATGCATGTGAGAAAGTCTGCATCAGTGTCTCTTTATATAAATCATGACCTGGCTACTCAACAAAAATCCACAAACCATCTAGTGAGCAGTCTCATGTAGGAACTATTTTCTTAGCCAGTGAAGCTAACACTTCAGCTTTTATCCTGTCATGCTCTTTCCAACATGAGATCTCGTCACGGGTAGTTGGACTCTTTCTTCTGGAGAATCATAGGATTGGCAGATCTGGTTTGGTATAGAAAGAGATTTGCACGCAAGTTTGATTAACTAAATCATGATTTCTTCCAATAGACATTGCTGCTGAGTTTTCTTTTCTTTTTTGGCACCACAAGGTATAACTTGCATTCCCTGGCCATCTAATTAGATACACTTTGCTAGTACTGTGTTGGACCTCATTTTGCTTTCAGAACTGGCTTAATTCTCTGTGGCATAGATTCGACAAGGTGCTGGAACTATTCCTTGGAGATTTCAGTCCATGTTGACATGATAGCATCACACAGTTGCTGCAAATTTCTCATCCATGATGTGAATTTCCTGTTCCAAGAGATGATTAGAGTTTTGTGACAAAGCAGCCGTCAGAAAATGTGTGACATGGTCAGCATCAATATTCAGGTAGGGTGTGGTGTTTAAACAACATGCTGTTTATGCCAAATTCTGACTCGACCATCCAAATGTGGCAGCAGACATCAAGACTCATCAGGCAACATTTTTCCAATCTTCTGTTATCCAGAATTGATGAGCCACTTGTGAATTGTAGCCTTAGATTTCATTTTACACGAGTAGCACCTGGTGTGGTTGATGCTGTGCTTTCAGAGATGCTCTTCTACATACCTCGGTTGTAACCAGTGGTTGAGTTAATTGAGTTGCTACTGCTTTCCTATAAGCTGGAAGCAGTCTGGTCATTCTCCTCTTGACTTCTGGCATTGCTAAAGGGATCACACAGAGAAGTGCTCCTCACTGGGTATTTTCTCTTTTTCAGACCTTTCTCTGAAAACATTAGAGATGGTTGTGTGGCGAAAATATCGCACGTAATTCACCTTTCTTCCCCATTCTGATGCTCAGTTTGAGTTTCAGCAGGTCATCTTGACCATGTATACATTTCTAAATGCTCTGAGTTGCTGCCATGTGATTGGCTGATTAGATATTTGCAGTTGAACAGGTGTGCTAGTAAAGTGACCAGAGAGTGTATCTCTATAACTCAGCAACTCACATCAAAACAGTTTGTTCTGAGGACCAGAACCGGCCTGTAGATGATCTCATATCATGAAGTCATAAAAGAAAAACTAAACAACCTCCAAAAGTCAGTAAATATCAGTTAACCTGGAGGTGACTGACTACACTGAGTCTTTACTGCTGTTTAACTCAAACCCAACAGAGGGCGCTCCACTTACTTAAGCAAGCCAACATTTAAACACATGTGAACACATAACAGCTGATGGATAAGCATCTGGCCTCTTTAAATCAGACAGACAGTAACGCTCTTGCAAAGTGATCCCTATTAAATTATTCGTTGTTTATCTATGCATGTATAGGACAATGTGTGTGTTCAAAAATAGTTATAGTATTTTTTTCCCAGTGTGATATGCTGAACTACAAAGGTATTAAAAATTGAGTTGGCTAAACAAGATATAACAGGACAGAAAATGATTTGAGTTCTTTAATATTGTTGCAAATATATTGTTGTTATATTGTTATATGTTGATGTTTATTTAAAAAATAGATTATGTGTTTATTTTAAAGCCACAATTGTACCGAAAAATCTTAGATAGTTGTTCTGTTAGTTAGCTTTTACACAATTATGGTCGCCTGCACCCAACGCTCATCTTCTGAGTGTAATTCATTCACAATAAAATGAGAAAAAGCACACAATGAAGAAAGTTAAAGATTATTTTTTATGTGGCAAGGCGTCTGTCTCTCCATCCGTTGATTCATTGTTCACAAGAATCAGTTCTCCTACAAGATTGGTCAGAATTTATACACCATGATCATTTAATGCGTCTCCATCGAAAACGATGAAGGTCATATTTGCTATTTTATAGGCACATTTCCATTTTCAGATGAATCACTAGTCCTTTTAGAGTGAACTGACAAAAAGGCTGTGATAAAATAATCAGACATGCCTACCGAATTCAACACAATTCAATACTATCTTCTTATCATGTTTCAACTGATTTGTCCACCTTTTTCTTACTTTACATTAATTAGTATGTTTTAAAAAAGCACAACAATTGAATATGGGTTTGAACTGCCCTTTTCATAATCATCAAATTCTGTAAAAAAAAATTTAATCCTCATCAGTTCTTCTCTTGATTGGTTTCAGCTTTAAAATGCCAGAACAAAAAAAAATATCTGAAGTTTGTGTAAACGTCCTCACATTTAAGAAGTAAATATTTTGAATTTTGGTCTAAAATTTGCTTTCTTATTTTTCTGTAATCAGAATAGTTGCTGATTGATGAACTTATACGCTAATCAGCTAATTATTGCAGCTCTGCTAATTATAATGTAATGCAGTGCTGTCCTTGTTACTGCGTACATTGTATATGAAGGGAAAAGGAGCTATTTAAGGAATAACCTCCTTGACTTTTGCCTGAGTGCTGATGACAAGTTGGATATCTAAGATGCATAAAAATGCGATTTTGACATGACTTCAAAAAGAGAAGCATACGGATGAGGTGGACCCTCTGCCAACAGAGAGATGAGGAAACAGATGGGTTTTACACAAACAGCACAAACATCAAGAACACTGAGTTAAAGAGCTTGGCAGTCTCACTTGATGAAACAGTGAGGAATGGAGGCGCTTTTAATGAGCATCTCTCCTGTGATGCAGAATGTGAAAAGACAAACTGTTAGCTCTTAAAGGGGCAGTTACAGTTGGTTGGTCCTGGCTGGTTTTACCAACCTCTTGTTGAGTGACTTTGGTCAGGGTGCATACC